GGAATTTCCTGACAGTTAGAACAATTAATCAGTGGAACAGCTTGCCTCAGAGGTGGGTTCCTACTGGTTTGCACCAGTTCAATAGAACCAGTTCATCAAATCTATCGAACCGGTTAGAAGATGTTCCACCGGTGGACCCGGAAGTAAGTTCTGGAAGACCTGCCCTGGCCCTGTCACTTGCTCGCTGTGCCCATTCCATCACAGCTTGCTCGCTCCCCTGCCCATCTGCATTAACTAGCCCAGCCTGCTGCTCACTGATTGGTTGGAGTCCAGCCAATCAGTGAGCAGGCTGTAGTCGACCCGCCCGCTTCTAACAACCATTTAAAACCATGGTGGGTCCTCCATTCATTTCGTTTGTTAGGCTTCCCCTTCCAGCAGCTTGTGCTTCCCTCAGGTAAGCAACTAAGTGCAAGGAGGGGCGGTGGGGATGGCAGGAGTCTAGCTTACACCAGCTCACGGCTTTCATGAGGGAAGGCCTTCAGGCCTTGCCTCGCGAAAGCTGCGAGCTGGTATATGCTGCGTGGCTGAAAGGAGGTGGGTGGCGGCAGCGGTGGCAGTGACGATGGGAGGAGAGGAGGTTAGCTTGTGGCTTTCCTGAGGGAAGGCCTTCAGGCCTTGCCTCGCGAAAGTCGTGAGCTGGTGTACGCCACATGGTCAAAAGAAGGTGGGTGGTGGCAGTGGTTGCGGGGGGTGAGCTGGCATGCACTGGCGGTGGTGGCGGCAGCAGTGGTGAGCTGGGATGCAGCGGCAGCAGTGGGGCGGAGTTGGCATGTGGCGGCAGCAGGGGGAAAGCTGGTGTGTGGTGGGGCAGCGTGGGGCTGTGGCAGCAGTGGTGGCAGGCTAGCTAATGCCAGCTCGTGGCTTGTCTTGCAAAAGCTGCAAGTTAGCATATGTCATGTGGCCAAAAGGAGGTGGGCTGCAGAGGCAGCGGGGGGGGAGAGCTGGCATGTGGCAGTGGTGGGGGGTGAGCTGGCATGTGGCAGAGGCAGCTGGTTAGCTTATGCCAGCTTGCAGCTTTCACAAGGGAAGAACTTCCCTTGCGAAAACCGTGAGCTGGCGTATACCGCATGGCCGAGAGGAGGTGGCCGGAAGCAGCAGGTGAGCTGGTGTGCAGCAGTGGGAGGGGGGCAAACTGGCAGGGGGGCAGTAGTGGCAGAGGTCTAGCTTATGCCATCTCGTGGCTTTTGCAAGGGAAGGTCTTCCCTCATGAAAGCTGCGACCTGGCCTAAGCTAACCAGCCGCCTCTGCCTCGTCACCTGCCTGATCACTGCTGCATCCATCACATCAGAGAGCTGCTGATTCTGCCTGATGGTAAGTGACCCATTTTTTTTCTTTAATTTTTTAATGTTTTTTTAAAGAATATTTTATTTATTGTGTATAGAACTTTTTAAAATCATTTTATTTAAAAATATTGAGTATAGAATTTTTTAAAATGATTTATTTCAATTTATTGTGTATAGATTCTTTTTAAAAATTGTTTTAGACTATTTAAAAAAGATTCTATCAAAAATAAATTAAAATAAACCATTTTAAAAAATTCTATACTCAATACTTTTAAATGTATTGTGGATAGAATATTTTTAAATGGTTTTATTGTAATTTATTGTGTATGGAATATTTTTAATGGTTTCATTTTAAATTATTGTGTGTGGAATACTTTGAAATGGTTTCATTCTAAATTATTGTGTGTGAAATCTTTTTTTAAATTATGTTAGACTATTTCAAAAAATATTCTATCAACAATAAATTAAAATAAACTATTTAAAAGTATTCTATACTCAATACATTTAAAAATATTGTGGATAGAATATTTTTAAATGGTTTTATTGTAATTTAATGTGTATAGAATATTTTAAATGGTTTTAAGGACTTTTTATTATTTATAGAATATATATTTTTAAATTATTTTAGGGATTTTTTATTTATTTATTG